CTTTTCTTCCCCCCCCCCCAAATGTGTACCCCAACAGTTTCTTCAGGTTACACAACACCTGAAAGGTCACACAGTCCTGCCAGCACCTCCTCTCCCACCCCTGTGCAGCAGTAAAGGAACAAAAGCCCTGTGTCACAGGGTATTTGCAATGGATAGGGGTTTGGGGAGAGTCAGAGGCCTCTTTTGTCTGGTTCAGAGCCAAATTATTAACTTGTTGCTGCTGAGTTTTAAAAAGAAACAAAAAAAAGAAAAAAAAAAAGAAAAAAAAAAAGAAAAAAAAGAGCTATATTGACCAAAATATGTTCTCTGCTTCTTTTCAGGGAATCTGACTAAACATATGAAGTCAAAGGCCCACAGCAAAAAATGTCAGGAGATGGGCGTGTTGGTATCTTCACTGGTGGATCTGGAAGCCGAAGAAGGTAAAATCTTCCAACATTATAAACCTGCTATTACTGCTAAGAGAGAGCAGTATCCATTCAGGCAGGAGACGTGCTCTGCAGATCATTCTTTCAAAGATTTGGAGCAGTTTTGTTCACCCCAGGCTCCTTCCAGCACCCAAGGGGGGATTTCTGCTCTCATGGAGTGGGTTACGGGGCCATCCTGGGAGGCTGCATCTGTGGGACGGTCTGTGAGCCCGTGTCTCCATGCTGGGGGTTGTGCGTGTTTGTCTGAAGTATTTTGACTGGCTGCAGAGAAGAGGCAGGAGTAAACAGACGAGTGGGGAGCATCCTGCGTTTGGCCCAGCACTCTGCATGTGGGCTATATGCATAATAATAAATAGTGGATCTGTGGCGTGAGAAGGTGCTTCTTGGTATTTTGGGGTATCTCTAGTAGGGAGTCAGGAGCCTGACTGCCATGCTCTGGAAGAGCCTGGGTCTCTCCTGGTGGAAGAGGGAGTCTCTGAAGCAGAAAGACCCACTCCCGAGGATGCTTTGCATGAGCCTCATGAGCCCCCACTTCTCTGCTGCAAGCACAGTCTGCTGGGTGAAGGAGAAAAATCAGTCCTGGGCCCCCTGGTTAGGGTCTGACCGCATATTTTACTGGAGCTGAAGTGCTGAGTGTGAGCACAGGGTTGACCCTTTGGTGCGTGGCCTTTGCAGGCTGTGGTGAGGTTCTTGCAGAGGGGGACACTCCAGCAATAGAGGGCTATGAATGATTTGGGGGATACCTTCCCCCTGAAAGGGCCTCCAGAGAAAGACTTTTCCGTAAAGATCATCTAATAGAGACCTGCCCATCTTATTGTATTTGGCTTATCCCAGGAGACTCCAAATTAGCAGTGCAGACCCGAGCTGCGTCCGAGGGACTGGTGCGTGCATGAGCTGCTCCCATCTCCGCAGGCAGACCCAGCCTGGACCCTGCACCACTGCTGGAGACCTCAGCATACCAGGATGGGGTGTGAGCAGCGTGGGGGCAGCTGCTTCCCTCATCCCTCACTGTCGTGGATCTTTTACATCTGTAGGGTGATGGTGAATCAACCTGGTCAGAAATGATCTGGAAGATTTCTCAGTAGGGAAAGAGCCAGCAAAACTAGAATAACATAGTGCCTTGACATTTAATGGCATTATTCTGAGTGCTTTACAAGAAGATATATTTACCCTGACTCACCTGCTTATTTCTTTCATCTCCTTATGCACAAACACACAAAATCTGTCCAAGGCTCTGTAAATTCAGGCGTCTGCCTGTTCTTTGAGAGGGACGCATGACTCTCTTACTTAGTAATTTCCGCCCTGGTTTATAGTATCTGCAGCTGAATTTCCCTGAAGTCATCCCGAGAAGCAGATCTCTTTGGAGGCTGGGCAGCATCAGGCAGGAGTGTGGTGACCATAAGCACTCCTGACTGTCAGAAATGCTGAGGGAAAGATGATAAAGATCTCCAAGCTGGGAGATGAAGGAACATGGGGAAGTCTGGTGTATACTTAGCTGTTTGAGCTAGAAAAAGATATTTTTCCCAAATTATTGGAGGCTACGCTCTGACAGCTGTGAAGGGTTAGGTTATGTGTCTCCAGAGAACAGTTAGATGTTTTTACGATTGTTATTCTGTTTCCTTTAGCAAGACCCTGAGTATTCAGGGCTGGAGCCGCAGCGCAGGAATGATGAGGAAGAAGCTTTAGGGGTAGCAAATCTCAGGTCCTCATGAAATTTTGGGTCATCTGCATTTGTGTTCAGCGGGTTGTTTGTGTTTATAGGAAGCACAGCACATACCAGCTAGAGAGGGAGGAGAGGCTCTGGGCGCACAGGTCTGTCTGCCACAGTGCGTTTATTCCTGGATAAAACACTTACTTAGTGCCACAGAGCAGGGTGGTGTTTTCTGTTTGCATTGCATTGCAGGCTGGTCAGAACACCACTGACCCTTCCTGGCTGCCACCCCAGAAATCCCAGTATGAAAGCAGCTCTTGTGGCTGTCTTTAGCAATTTTTTTTTCCCCCCTGTTTCCTGTTTCATCCCCCTGTCTCACCCCAAACAATTTTGATTCCACCGTCCCTGGGACTCATTCTGCCACAGCCCACAAGGGTTTGTTGACAATGGGTTAAAATGAATTTCATAAAACACATGGCGCCACAGTTATTTTTATAAAGTGAACATCAGCTGAGCAAGTTCTGGAGACGGCACTGTGAGCCAGGGAATGTTAACTCGGCAGGAACAACAAACAGCGCTTATCACCCTGGTCCCCTGCTGGGGTCAAGTCCATCAGAGCTTTATTGGGAGAGGGGCTGGTTCCTGGGACATGGGCAGTGTCACATGATTCCTGCTTCACAGGTAATTAAAAATCTCTAAGTGCATCTCCCTGCGCAGCCCTTGGTGGGAACGGGGTTTGCCCTGCTGCAGGCTGCAGCCCCTCGTGCTGCGGGACTTGCGGTGCAGGTGGTTCACAGGGCTGGGGAGGCTGTGCCTGCTGGGCAGCCCTGGCTGCTGGGACCCTCCAAGGTGCTTTAACTCTCAGTTTTTAGATAGCGAAGCTCAGCAGTGCTGTGCCCTGCAGTGTGCTGTGTCCTTGAGGTATTTCCACACGAATTAGACTGTGCTGAGGACATTTGCAGGCACTGGCACACCATCGTTTCAACTTAAACTGCAGGAGCTATCAACAAGACATCTGTGTCTCAGGCCATCACCACACTTCCAGAAAAATTGCTGAGCCCAGTTTGGGAATGAATATTCCCTCAGAAGAGGTTGGCTGTGGCCACCCTGTTTTGGAGGCACAGAGGTACAGATGCAGAGCGATCCGATGGGGCTGCACGGCTTGTGTCACTGTCCTGGGACAAATATGGCTTGGAGGGCTGATGCCACTGTCCTTGAACTGAACAGACCAGGACTCAACTTGCCAGCAGAGAACCTGCAGGAGATATCTGAGAAGTCCCACTGGTTAACCAGTCCCAGACCCCAGTGATCCCCCTGTGCAGTGGTACCACGATCTTTCAGACTTCAGTTCTGGATCAGGCCAGGTGTAGTCACTTGGGTGGTCAGGGGATGAGGACATGGGAGAAGAGCGAGCCCTATGGTCTTACCAGACACCCGTGCCCCCTTTCACAGTGCCTTTCCTGACATGCACAGGGATGGACCCAGGCTACACAGAATAAACATCCCACTAAGGCTATCTGTCCTGTCAAAAGGTGTGCCACTCTGCCTCGAGGGATGGCTTTCTTCCTTTTAAATCTGCTAGAACTCTTGGCTTTTCTCCAGCTCTTCAGAGCAACCTTTCCATCAGGCAGAGACACGCTGTACTTGGCCACGGCCTTTCCAAAGGAGGACATGGCCAAAAGAAAACCTGGCCGGGGATTTTGCAGTAGCCGCCCCAAGGGAAGAGTGTTGGTGTGGTGTGAGCAGTGGAGGCTGCTCCCATGTGGGATCGCTGGAGAACTCCTTCAGCCCAGCAACTCAAAGTAATTGATTAGCTGATGGTCTCTAGAAATCTCTCCCTGCTGTTCTATCACCTGTTGGTAATGCTTCTGCAGATCAAAGCTAGACAGGGAAAGAGGAAAGTGGCTCCTGAAATGTTGGTTGCATGATTCTGAAAAGAAAAACTGTTATTTTAAACCTTTCCATTATAGTTAATTAGAACTAATGAATCATATTAATTGAGTGTCACTTTTAAAAACCTGCAAATCAGGAGTCCTATTTATGTTACAGGTAATTGCAGGTGCCTGAGGACAGAACTGCAAGGGCTCATTTCACCAGTCCAGCGGATTGCTTTCATTCATGATTTCCTTCAGTCATTCATCCTGGGCTCATACAGGGTTAATAGTAGTGCACCCAGCAGTGTGTTGTTGTGCAAGTGATGTGAAAGCCTGTCAAGGCTGTCAGCTGGTGGGAGCACTCTGCTTGTGAAAATGGAGGTCTGGCAGGTGATGCGGCTGAGCTAGTCTCAGCCTTGGGCCTCATGGAAAGAGTAGGTCTAGGTCTAAACAAAATCCCAAGAAAAGTTTGCCTTGCACCCAAGGTCAGCTGGGAGAGCACTCAGCAGAAAGGATGGGACCCTCAGCTGCGGGACTTCTTCTTTGGCCATCATTAAATCCTTGGTCCCTGCCTGCTTGTGGCTGAACTCGTGGTGGTTGGACACTGCTAAGCCCAGCAAGGAAGGGCCTACCTGGACTGCAGCGGGCAGGACCCATCAGCTTTCAGAAGGGACTCCTCTCCCATTGTTGCTGTTGGCTGTGCAGCTGCTCACTGGAATGTGTTGTGCTGTCTGGGCTTCATTGCATTATGCAAGCAATCCGTGTAATTTTAGAATTACAAAAAATATACAGTCCCCATTTCCTCCCATTGATGCAGACCATTTGTGTTTGTGTAAGGGGGACAGTCTGCCAGGAAGGGATGGAGAAAGGTGAAAATGGGAAGGTGTGGTATCAGAGGACGTTTCCTTTTTTTCCTTCCAGTTTCTTTTTCACCTGGTTAAAGCCAACACTGGACTTCTGCTGAAATTTCAAATATTCTGCCTCATGAGTAAGGAGGCCCATTGCTCACAAATGCCAAGTAAATACTAAATAAAGCAGCTGGGAAGATGGTCAGAAAAATCATATATTGTACTGTAATTGTTGGGGCTATTTGGATGGATGAGAAAATAACATTAAAATGGCAGAAAGGTGCACAAGGAATCAGAGATCACAGCTGTATCCCTGTTCTCAGAGTAGCGGGTTGCAAGGAGCCTTCCCCTCTGTAACCACAGAGTGTCTTCTCTTTTCTCTGGGAAGAGTCTCAGAACAGAGCGTAGCAAGGACGATTTTAATTTAAAAAAAAAAAATAAAAATTATTTCCATGTGACACAAACCAGCACAGGAAGATTGCTGTGCTTTCCTTTGGGGGCAGGCGGGGAGGGAACAGCAGTTCCTAAAACTCCATGGATTATTTTAAAACTGGAGTTATATTTCACTTGATTGTTTTTATTTCTATTTAAGGGGCAGGAGAAAGTAAGGGGTGTTACTATAAAAGGAGATTGGAGTATAATTCTTCCCTCCTGCATTGCTTTTGCTTGGTGTGGTGGCACCGGTTTGGTAGAATAACCTTAGAATAACACGAGATGCAACCCTCAGACAAAGCCATTGACAGGGCACATTTTCACTAGCTGCCTCTCCCTTCCTCCATCTCTCCCTTCCCTCCCTCTCGTTCTTCTCCTGACTTGCCCTTTCTCTGCCCATTAGCTCAGCAAAATGCATTTCACTTGCAAGAAGCCAGGGCTCGGGTCTGAGCTCTCTTTCTGCCCGCAGGAAGCGTGTTAGGAGGCCAAAGCAAATCCCCTTTGGGCTGTCCCAGGACTCACTGAAATGTTTCCCTTGGTGGCAAATGCAAACAACTCTCCAGTGCGGAGCTGGCTTCATGTTTCCCTCACTCCATACTTGTGACCTTGCTCTCTGTCCTGGCCAGCGCCTGTCTGTGTGTGACGGGCCAGAAGAGGAGACCACACAGGACAGGGCTCAGAGCCACGCAGCGGAGGCTGAGGCTGGAGCTGCCTGTCCATCCTGAAGCCCATGGATGTCAAACCCCAAAACCAGAGACAGGGACTAGCTCATAACCCTGGCACTGAAATTAATTCCTTTTCCAAGCAAGAAATATGCACAGTTCACCCTACAGCTGGGAGAACTGGTCATTTGGAATAATATTTGTTCTGAACTCGGTTCCTTTGGGAGTTTGCAAACAACCCGCCACTGGATGCCGGGCCCAGCAAATACCATCATAATACAGGCATTTCACACTGCAGGTCAGCCTCACGGGGGAGAGCCGCTGGCTTCGACTTGATGCTGTATGAGTTCTGCAGTAGGTCTGGCTTTATGGACTAGTTAACAGATACTTTTTAAACAGGGTGGGGAGAAAATGAGATGCATTTCAGGCTGACTCTTGAATGGATAATCAGCCATGGTAAAATAGATGTCTTGTTTCACCAGTGATGACAAATATTTCATGAACATTTACTAGTAAGGCCCTGTTATTCAAAGTAAACAAAATCAGAATTTCCATCCATAGATCACAGTGACTTCTCACTGTGTGGCCATGTCCCCTTCTGCAAACCACCCTGCCTGCTGCTGGCAGGTGTGGTCCAGCCTCAGCGTCAGTTCCGTTTAATTTTCCCTCCAGCTTGTCCCGCTGACAGATGGCAGCTCTAAATGGAAAACCGTTTCAGTGTTCATCAGAGGAGAAACAGTGTCCTAGGCTGAACTGATGGGGAAAAGAGGCCAGCAGTGCTGCAGTGAGTTACCCAGCTTCGTGCAGGTGTCAGAGCAGCATCCAGGCTCTCTCCTTCCAAAGACGGGGACCAAGCATGTCCCAGCAGCTCTGCACCCATCGACTCGGTGCTTGGCACAGAGTTTGAGAAACTGGTGTTATATTAGCCCCTCCAGAGCAGTGGGGACTTGCAGGAAAGCCTCCTGACAGTAGAATTTTGTTGAGCTACAGTGACATCCAGTGGCTGTTCCCGATGGACCTCCTCAGCCTGAGCTCACATTTCTGCCAGGATCTCTGCACATCTGCCGTGGGGAAATGCAGATTTTTCTCGGCGCAGAGCAGAGCAGTGGGTGAGCGGGCAGAGATCTGCTTGGGAGCTTGGTACCAATCTCAGAAAGCTTCTGCTTGCCCTTAAAGTATGAGAGAGATGCTCTGTTTTTATCAGCAGATACATTTCAAGTCCTTTCGCAGTTGATCTTTGTATAGTACTCACTGTTTACAAGCACTTATTAACAACGCATCCCTGTGCAAGGCCTTCAACAGACAGCAAAAACCTCTGCCAGAAAGAATTGTCTGTGTTATAGCTAGAATTTATCAAAATAAGGGAAAATTCACAGGGATTCTTTCAACCCTATTGTTTGCTTTTTAATAAAAGTCTTGTCTTGCTAATGTTTAACTGTCACATAATCTAGGCAGAAAAAGGCTCAACGTGTGAAGGATGGGAGCAGTCATCCCAGCAACTTCCCTGTATCTTGGCAGCTGTAGATATTTTGTAGGCACCATTGCAACAAATAGTCATAAAAAGCCCACCAAAGGATGATAGTGCTGCTGTTCTCATCTATTTAAGAGCCTTTTTTTGCATTTCTAGAGAAAGGCAGGCAGAGTGTGTGTGAATGTACACAGCAAAAGCAGGGGCCGATGTCTGCGTGTGTTGACAGAGCAATGGCTGGAAGTAAAATTAGGGTTGAGCAGGAGGAATGGTGGGATCCACTGGGATCTACTGGGATCTTCAGGAGTGGAGTTGGCATAGAGGGCAAGAGTGCAGACTTCAAAGCACAAGCTGATCAGATCTAGGAAATAGCCAGGTCCTCTCTCCTGATGTCCCCTTAGAACTTTTGAGCAGATTTAGCACAAAAATAGTCCCTGTATGTGTCTTTTACACTTTTTTTTTTGTGTTTGCCCATCCCTCAGGAACCAGTGAAGACCTATTCCAGGACTCTGAGGGGCGGGAGGGATCTGAGCCAATTGAGGAACACCAGTTTTCAGACCTAGAGGAATCTGATGATGATGATGACAATGAAGATGAGGAAGATGAGGAGGAAGAGGAGAGCCAAGATGAGCCACCTTTAAAGTTGCCGGAAGGCAAACATCCCACCCTCCCGATGCACTCTTCAGGTGGCTCTCCATCTTCTCAAGAGGAAGGCACTGAAATAGCATTGTCCTTAGCCCAAGAAACTGTTTCCAGCAGCCAAAAATCAGGAGAAGGCCAGCAGGCCTCCTCCTCAGGGCTGGAAACAAAGTGGTCAGCAGACAGCAGTGACATTGCTGTGTGCCACAGCTTCTTGAGTCTCCACAGACCAGCTTTGACCTCCACCGAACAATTGGCTTCTGCTGAAAGAGAGTCTGTCACAAGGCCACAGATGTCCTTAGTTATGGACCTGTCAACCTCAAAAGACACCTCCCCAAGAAAAAGGTGGTCTCCAAGCCAGGACTCTGGCAGAGGTGGTGGCAGCAGCAGACCAATGCTAGCAAGAAAGCACCTATTAACCAAAAATGAAACTTCACCGAAACGGTTTTCACCAACTGGAGAACTGTCTTCTCTAAGGTGCCTGTCTCCAGGGAGAGGGTTGTCTCCTTGCCAGCGTGTCTCTCCCAGGAGGGAGGCATCTCCACTGAGATGCGTGTCACCAAGACTTGAGCTGTCGCCCAGCAGGCATCTTTCCCCCAGAAGAGAGCTGTCCCCAAGAACATACCTTCCACCAGAAGGAGAAGTCTCCCCTGTGAGGCACTCGTCACCAAGCAGAGAGATGTCATCAGTCAGATATTTATCGCTGAAGAAAGTCTTGTCTCCAGGCTGTTCAGAGTCGTCTAGGTATCCATCCCCTGGGAAAGAGGACTTGCCTGGTACTAGCAAATCAGCAGCAGATGACAAAGTTCAGAGCTCATATCAAGCCCAGCATGGGATATTATCTTCGATGCCTCTACCTCACAGGTTCTTTGGCAAAAACGTACAGCTCTATGAGTCCAAGCTGGTAAGTTCAAGCCCCTCTTGCCTTCTAGTCCCTGCAGTACATTCTCTGATAAGTTTTTGAATGAAGGTTGCAATGCAGAAGTGTGTGGTGACTGACTCTGATCGATGTCACAGGTAACCCAGAGGAAAGGGACAGTGGACAGCAATGGGTTTTCCACCCATTTTGGTCCTGCCCGTCTCAGTTGAAGAGAAATAAAGTTGTCCCTTCTCCAAGGGGTTATTTACACTCCTGACCCAACCAGTCTGCTGCTGAGACAAGCAGGAAGGATGACTGGTTAATAATGACTAGTTATAACTAAGAGGCTTTTTTTTTTTTTTTTTCCCCTGGGAATTTCATACCCATTTCTGAGATTTCACCAGCTGGGAAGAAGCTGTGACCATTTTTCACTGGTCAGTGACCTGAACCAGATCTGAACTAACCATTGCACTCTATTGCTGACTCCTGGGCTATGTGCATACACAGCCAACTCTGTTAGATTAACTGCTGAGAAATGTTTGTTTGGACATCTCTGATTTCATCTCGCTTCTCTCTTCAGCACAGAGAGGTGTTTCCCACTGGGTCCAGAAAGTTATTTAATCTCTCTGCTGGACATATCAAATCCAATGGGTAAAGGAAAATTGCATGTTCCTCCCACTGCTACAGGCAAATTAGACGTCGGGTTTGGTGGAATGTTTCCCATTTCTACTGAAGTGCCTGGCTCTCCTGTAATTTATGCTGATGAACATGAGATTCAGTTGCTGGAGTTGCTCTGCTGTGAAACTGCTGTGAGGAGACACTCAAGCCCTTAGGGACTGCACTGGGAAGAGAGAGGCCTTTATACAACCCCTGGAGAACCTGTCCTGGCAGATGCTGACCCAGGTCTTCTCCAGAAGAGCCACGCTGCCCAGTGTGCGTTTCTTCCACGTCTATGATAACGTACAGTCTTCTGGTCCTGCCCTCCTTCTGCTTTCCACTATGAGTGTTTGTCTTACCTTCTCAGAGACTATCCTTTGTTTCAGGTCCAAACTTTTTCTTACTTTAATGTTATTTCCCTTTCCTGTCAATTAAATTCTTCTGGTGAATCTCAGTGCTGTGGAAACCTCAGTTCTTCAACTCTGAAGCATCTCTGTCAGGAAAACTGCCCACTGCCTCTGCTTGAAGCAAATCCCCTGAGCTCCCTAGTCCATAGTAGGAGACAATATTGTAGACCCCTGCTTATCTGCCCATTCACACTTTTTAACTTACGCTGTCACATACATAACCTTTTGTTCCATTTTCCTGCTCCTTTCATGCAGCCAAAGTCACCACTGTTGCTTTTCTTTTGTGCCTTCAAAGCAACAATAAAGACCCGAATGGGAAACTTTCCATTTATCAGTGAGATGAACAGCTGGGCTTTCACTGCAAAATTACATTCCTGGTAAGGCTACAAGAAAACAGAAAGATCAGAGGTAGATTTATCAGATCCCAAACCAAGCTCTGTGCTCAAAACTGGTGCCCTGTGCATTGCTTAGAAGCTTAGAGACAATCTTCACTTAGCTTCACTGTAAGGCTTTCTACCAAGTCTGTGCGTCAGGCCTGACCATGACCACCTCTCTTCGCACTGCCTTTTGCAGTAGGTAGTCTCTCCTTCTATACAGTTGCATTACTGAGGTGATTTGTTTGGGGGTTTCCCAGCACCCCTGTAGTGATTCTGCCTAGGCTTCATGTGGATAAGTGACATTTAGCAAGTGTTTGGGCTTGTAACTGCTGACCCAGCATACACTATCTTCTGTGACTCTTGCTTTCTCTCTTCTGTTCTCTTGCTGCTTTCCTCTGTTGCCTCTTCATAGAGATCTAGCTTGTAGGGTCAGGCAATTCTCCATAATCCTATAAAGAAATACACCCTCCAGTGAATCCTCAAATTCTAACCCCATCTTAATGGAAAGTTGATTTCATTTCTGTTGCTTCCTCTTCTAGGGAGTCCTGTTTAGGGGTTTAGTTATAACCTCATCACTAATTAATCCATTTCTGTTTAGCCACATATCTCTCCATGATGTACATTAGGAAACTATGTGAAGCACCGAGAGAGAAAGAGGAAAAGGTAAAATGGTAGGGTCTTAACCCTTGATTTCTACAGACCACACCATGAGGGTGGTGGTGGGGACCACACTGATGGGTGTGCTTTGTGTCAAACGAGAGTTAATGCTATCTCTTACTTGGTCCAAAACATCCTTGCAGTTATCATCTGTAAGGATGTAATCCTGCTTTAATTATTCTGGGCTCTCAGAAACCCCATGTACTGAAAGGGATCCAAAGCAGCTTGGATGGCGGGAAACGCTGGCGCTGGCGTCCTCTGCCAGGGTTTCAGAGGCAACTCTGATAATAGGACAAGGGGACATGGTTTTAAACTAAAAGAGGGTAGATTCAGGCTAGATTTAAGGAAGAAATTTTTTACAATGAGGGTGGTGAAACACTGGAACAAGTTGCCCAGAGAGGTGGTAGATGCCCCATCCCTGGAAACATTCAAGGTCGGGTTGGACGGGGCTCTGAGCAACCTGACTGAGCTGAAAATGTCCCTGCTCACTGCAGGGGGGTTGGACCAAATGGGCTTTAAATGTCCCTTCCAGCCCAAACCGTTCTGTGATTTTGTAATGATCCAAACCTGAACCAAAACCCTGGATCTGTGCCCCGACAGACCATGGGCGTACCCAGAAGGCAGATGCTGTGGGTTGTGTTGCTCCTTACCTTAAAGTTTTGGGGGTCCAAATCTTCCTCATTTGATTGATATCCCTCAAATTAGAATAAAATGTTAACATAACCAATCCTTATAGTCAACATTAATGATGCTCATGCTGTAACTTGCATTTGCACTGATTCAGCTGTTTCTTTTCCCTCTCCGGTGCAGAAGATAGAACCACGAAGCCCAACATGTTCACCTGGCGCCACACAGCCTGTCTGCTCCAGACCCTTGCAGGCACCTCATGAAATACACGTCCACGGTCCCAGCCGCGGGGAGGAGAATGTCTTCAGCCATCTCCCGTTGCATTCGCAGCAGCTTACGAGGACCCCATACCCTATGATTCCCATTGGGGGCATCCAGATGGTCCAGGCGAGGCCAAGCACCCATCCCAGCTTGGTGCCCAGTTCAGTTGTGTCCCTACAAGCAGGATACTTCGCCTCTGGCAGCAGCAGCTTCACGGAGTTCAGCCGGGGTCCCAAGAGGGATGAGGAGCCGCAGGTCCCACGGGAGCCATCGTCGGCATCTGTCTCCCCGGTTGCAAAGGTTTCTAAATACACACTGTCCCCAGAGCTTACGAGCAGTGGTTACTTAGAAGAGAAAATGAGGACTAGTGAGCTTCAGCAAAAGACAGACCAGGAGGAATACAGGGTAAAAATGTTCGCTGAGTCTAGCCACGCGGAGCAGGCAGGCCGCTCGGCATCCCCAGCCAGCCCCAGCACAACCGACGAGCACTCTCCAAAGCCTTCGACAAGTGGGGAAGAACCCTTGAAAAAAACGGGCAAGAAGCAATCTGGCAGCTCGAGCACTTCTTTTGAATCATCCTGCACTTTCATCTCAGATCTCCCCTCCCAGCCGTTGGACAGAAGCAGCAGCACCGGCTGCCTCTCAGAGCCCTCATCGAGCCATTCGCATGCCCAACCGCTCTCTGTCCGGAGGAGAAACCTCTCCGGAGAGCCCAGTCGCCAAGGGGGAACCTCCAGGAAGAGCAGTCCACACCTAGAGCACGCAGATTTAGGTCAAACTCAAAAAAAGGTGGATGAAAACACGGGAAGTGCTTAAGCCTCCACCATCTGTTCCACCTTTAGGCTTCCTATGTAAAATCAACAGACATTTTCAACACTATTTCCTTTAGTATAATCATCGCTATAAGAAGCACTCTAGTGAATGACCAAACCCATGGAAGATTCCTGGTTTTCTTTGTCCCAGTCTGGTATTATCTCCACATGTATGCAGTTACTTGTGCCTTTTTCTATACCTTTTGTTGCTTGAAATGTACAAAACTGTTTGAGGCTGTGAATATTTTTTTAGAGTTTTTCGGAAAGGGGTTTGTTAGACCTTGTCTTTTTTGCCATTTAGGTGTGCGTAATTATGGGCCTGAGAGATGCAGAAAGGAAAGGGTTAAGCATTTTAAGAGGAAGAAGATGCACTGAAAACAAAAACAAAACAGAAAAACTTTTTTATATTGATTAAATGATTAAAAAAAAAAACAACAAACCAAACCCTTGCTCCTGTGTACAGAAGTTTATGATTCGTATTTATTACATGCTTTATTTAATTCTCGCAAAGTGCTTGTATTTTTTTTTCTCGCATCCCTCTGATTGCCTATGGTTGTGCTTTAAACAGTTGAGACTGCTTTACATTTGAAAAACGTGTTTACCCTGAACTTGTAAATGAAACTAGCACTTCCTTGAGTAGGGGGAGGTTCATTCACAGCGAGAGAAATTGTCACTCAAATGAGAAAATGAATCTTGAGCATCCCTCCCTCCTGCAGAACCCATCAAAGCACTTTTCTAAAAAGGGACAAAAAAAAAAAAAAAAAAGGTTCTTTTTCAAAGATTTAACTGCAAGAACATAGGAATGTATCAAATGTAGACCCAGTGCCAGGAATGGTGTCTCTCGCTGGACGAGCCGGCCTCCTGCTTGCTTTAATCCTTCCATCCCACGCCCGCTCCCTGCGCGCACGGCCGCTCCGCGATGCTCCCCACATCGCCCTGGCAAAGTCATGCCTGTGCCTGAGAGCCCCTCTTTTCTGGGGTTTGAAAGCCCTCTGTAAACACCCTCCCTTGGTTTAAAAGTGGAAGTAAACTCAGCCTTGCAACCATTTTTCCTCCGTAATTTTTTTTAGTTGCGGACACGCTCCCTCCATCCCATCCCCACTCAATCCTGGCTGGTTTGGCTTTGTTGGGCTCTAGGGATGCAGGCGTAGTTTATGCTCTGCTCGTTTGCATGCCTGCGGCTCTGTAACTCTGTGTCTTATTTTAATTTAATTTATTTATTTAAGCGGAACGTCGCAAACGTAGTCCTTATTGTGCAGATGGGCCCTTTTTTGGTGTTTTGGAAGAAAAAAAGTTATGATGCTGAGTGGTTAATGTTTGCAATCAGCTTGTTATGCATGCACAATAACTTTTTCCAGAGCAAATTTTTAACTATGACCATCCGTAGCAGAGCAATGGCCTCTACTGCCAATAGATACGATACCAAATACAGAGAGACCCGATGGAGCCATTCCTCTCTGTCACGTTAACACACTTTTTAAACTGCAAATGTTCGATACATGTTTGCCCTAGCAGACAGCAAGCTCTTTACTACTTCAGAGGGTTTTCTGGTCTATGGACTCTGTACAAACCTCTTTTTTTTTTTTTATTTTAACAAAAAAAAAGAAAAAAATATATGAATATTTAACCAGTGGACCAGTTCTTTCTTCTTTCAGAGCTGTTCCAGTTTATCGGGTACGTAATACACTTTTTAAAAAAAAAAAAAAAATTAAAAAAAATTAAAAGCGATCAAATAAAACCTGAATGAAAACATATTTCATTGCCAGACTTGATGAGCTATGAACTGTTCCCGTTTCACGGGCAAATAATATAAATTTTTTAATAATCTTCTGTGATTTTTTTTTTTTTCTTGTAAAGGGAATTAAGTACAAAAGAAGATATCATGGAAATAACATTAAGGCTGTGACACTGACCAAAACAACATCCAGAACCCATTTATACCTTAATTAGCACTTTTATCAAGTTTCCCTTTTTCCCATCTTCCCCTTTGGCCCCAAGCCTGGAAGTTGGTTCTGCTTTCAAACCCAGCCAAATCCTATGGCAGGAGCAGGGGCCGGGAGTTCAGCTCACCATAGCAACTCTGTTCAGTGAAACTCTTAGGCACAAGTTTGAATCCTCCTCAGGCTTTAAGCGTGTGCTTAATGTCAAGATGACTCTCGGTGGACTGCTCCGCCAGGCTTGGTGTGGGCATCCCTGGAAACCATCCACCAAATCTAGCAAAAGTTTTGACTTTCCTGGCTTCTGCCACTTTTTCACCCCTTGCCCTTGTCACACTCTTAACATTATTCCAAGATAGCTTTCTGTATTTAATTTTTTTTTATATATATATATATATAAATATATATATATATATAAAATTGTACATAAAAATATTGCAGCAGTTGTGCACTCCTCAGCATCCTGGTTTTGTTAGGTGCGTTTGACATGAGCTTTGGGCTAGATCAAATTTGCTCGGCTTCTTTCTGTAACTGTATTTTTAATCCTTGACCTGTTGAAACTTTGCATGTTTTGGGTTTTTTTTTCCTCATTCTGTCATTTCTGAACAGAGGAAAAGAAAAAAGCCCAACAAAACCCAGAAGTCACTACATTGGTTTCTTGCTTTTGTTGTTGCGGTTGATTTTATTACTATTATTATTATTATTATTATTATTTTTTAAAGCTTTTCCAGCAGCTCAAGATGAGTTGAAGCTTTCTGCATCTCAGCTGCAGAGCATCCAGGCTGGCAGCTGGTGTGTGCGACCATCCAGATGCCTTCGCCTGCGGCCAAAAAAAAGCGGGGAGAGGAGTTTGGGAAAGGGCCACGCAGCAGTGAGGTGCTCACCCTGCTCGGATCCCATACCCACCACTTGGCAGCCACGGAGTGGGCGTATGCGGGGACCGCTGAAAACTCAGGAGATGGTCAAAAAACCCAAACCCCAAGGCTGTGCCGAGTCTCAGCCCAGTTTGGCTTCTCAGCAGAGCGGCTGTGGGCATGGCAGGGGAGGCTCTGGCTGGGGTGAAATGGTGCTTCATGCTATACCTAACGGGCGCAATATGGCCTATTGGATAGGCAAAAAGGATCACACACACACACAAATTGATACTTAAGGGCTAATTCTCACTCTGACAGCTCAGAGCTCCGCGGGAAGGGCGTCCTCCTCTGCGCCGGCACCAGCATCTCCGTCTGCGGGCAGGGCGGGCGTCCCCGAGGGGCAGCCCTGCTGTGAAATCATAGCGTGACCTTGTGCAAATCGTGTCTCCCCTCTGCCTCATACTCAGCCAAGGAGCACAGTGATGCAGCTCCACCGATTTCCATAGAGTCGTGTGTTATTTACAGTGGGGCTGAAGACCCACCCATCACTGGTGGCTGCCTTCCCTACCTGGAGCACCTGTTGGCTCCCAGTGTCACACGAGGTGAAAGCTGTTTGCAGGTCACGGCTTTTAGTATCACTCTAGGAGTCTGTTCTGTCTGCAAACTAGAGCTGATAAATCCTGATTTACTTTTCACAAGGGCTGCAGGGGTGGCTAAGTTTGTATCCGTACAGACGCTTTGCAGAGCAATTAGCAGTATTATTTGCAAGAGAATGTATTAATAATGCAAATAGGCAAATTAAAAATCAGAGCCCAGCCTTTCCTTTTCATCAGCGGGTGGAAATAAAATCCCCTGCTTTTCTTATGGCAAGCGGTTCTTAAATTTATAGTCCATGAAGGCATGTGACCTCCAGAGACTGGCTGCTCCTCTTTGTTATGTCGCTGGTTAATTGGCCAAAACCCTACTCTGATATTTCCTTCCCTGGTAAGCTGTTTGTGTAGCTCCCATGAACGCAGGTACTCAATGGCAAACGGATGCTCTGGCACCCAAGAAATCATTCTGCATGGAGGACTTGGCCCATGCTCTTAAATAACTCCTTGAAACAGTTATGTTAAGTACCAAGCCTTATAGCCGGAGCTAATACAGCACTTGTGCATTGGCTTAAGCTTAAGCATTTCTGGAGTTTCAGTAACTTCTTTGTGCTTAAGCATGCATTTAGGTTCTTTTATCAAGGTTACAGAGCTCCGTGTCTTGCAGGACTGAGCAGACCATGGGAGGAGGAGAGGGGGGCAGTTGGCTCCCCAAAACGACCCCGTGCCTTGAAGCAGCTCTCTGTCAGCTCTAATTATTCACAGGTTGTTGGCTGGATACCCAGGAACTGCAGCAGGAAACTCTTAAAAGTAATGATGAAGTAGCTGTGACTTTACAGCTTATGACTGGGAAAGGTATTTCATCACCTGCTCCTAAGAGGTGACATTTTCAACCCTGTTGTCTCTAAAGTTAACACTCCTCAGCCAGTGCTCGGGCTGGCTGATAACAGCCACCGGCCAGACCCAAACCCCGCTCTCGCTCCAGCCCTGTCCCAGCTGCCAGGGTTTGCCGCGAGTGCTGCCCGCTCGCCTGGCTGGAGGCAGCTGGAGCTGGGGCTGGGCCTGCCAGCCCGCGGGCAACCAGGGCAAAGAGACCCAGCGCCCTCCTGGCCCCGGCCCTCCACTCTGCCGGAGCCATGGCAGCCACAACTGGCCACCTCCCCATCGCTTCTCTTCCACCTCCACCAAAAAATACGCAGAAGAGTTGATTTTTCTCTTAAGACAGCTTTCACTTTTACCTGGTTTTTGTTTTAAATCCACAGAAGCAGCACCTGAACAAGCAATATAGTTGGTCACGCAGAAGTCATTAAAATTATTCCAATTTTCATGCAAAACCCTGGACAATTTGATCTAGCCCTTTTCTGCTGTTCTTGCAATAGCTTTTCATTTGCTGACTTGGTTTCATCATGTGCTTTTCTTTCTTTTTTAATATTTCCATCTATTGCACAGTATTTACAAATAAAACCATATTGTAAATTATTTACAAAAAATTAAAAAAAAAAAGAAAAAAAAAATCAGTCCTGATGGCATAAAACAAATCTGTTTTCATTACTGAGATATGATGGCACTTACGATCACTTTAGTAAATGTAATGTAAAAAATAATAATAATAATGTGTACGCAAATTTAATATACATGGTCTCATGTAAGATAAATATTTGCCTTTTTTTCTAAAAGGTGTATGTATTCTGTAAGTGGAATAGTCTGTAGAAAGTTTCTATATGTTCTTAAAATGGCAATACATTCCAAAAAAGGTACTGTAAATATGTACAGCGTACAATGTAATTTGGTAGTTTTGCCTGTAATTTTATTTTAACTCCAGTTTCTACACTTGCATCTTGCAATGTCTGTATGGTTATATCAGTGCAAAAAAAAATGCAGGTAAAAGCACAGTCTGATGTAAAAAAAAACCACAAAACCAAACAAAAACCACAAAAAAACAAAACAAAAAAAAACCACAAAAAGAAGAAAAAATACTCAGTATTTGATGTTTGTGACCCTTATTGTAAATGACATCTGTACTGTGAATGAGAAGTTTTTACAAGTATAATATTGCCTTTACTACAGCTCAGATTGTCTGCTCAGTCTGAGCGTATTTTTAAAAAAATAGCATGTTGGAATAAATTTTAAAGTCCCAACATATTACTACGTGCATGACTGGCAGTCTTTAATTTTGATTTTTATTTAGCACAGTCAGGGACCTGGGTTGTAAAACGATGGAGGCAAATTTGGATAAACCAGTGTTAAGTTGCAGCCCCCCCCAGCCCCAAGCAGTCGCTGCCGAAACACCCCAGTTGCATGTGACGTGCTGCTCTAACAGAAGTGCCACGAGTGTATTTTTTTCAGTATTTCCTCCTTGCCGTGCAGAGGTGGTGAAGCAAAGGCACGTGGTGGATGCTCCGAGGGGGCTCTGCAGAGGCCCGGCTCAATTCAGTGCACTGATCAGAGACCATCTGCGGGCACCATCGCTGGGTTTGATTTTTTTTTAAGAGGTGCCTTTTCCTTGCCAGATCCCCCCAAACCTGGGCTGCTGCCCAGCATCCCGCGGTGGCTGCATACCTATGGGGGTCTTGCCAGGCCCTCCGCTGCTGGGTGGAGCAGCGTGACCCCCCCGAGAGCGGGGAGGGCTGCTTTCCTCACTCCCTCCTTGTCACATCCCTCCAGACTGCCCTTCCTCCTCCAGGACACGTCTGGTCGTCCCTCCTCTGCCCCTGCCAGGGTGCTGCCTGCCCCGCTGCCTGGGGCATCCCCTTCCTTAGGAATTCACCCTGAAGAGGGTATTTTGGGGCGGGGAGGGAAGCTGCCCCCCTCCTCGTCCTGCTTTGCCTGTTCACCTTGCCAGCAGGGAGCAGCTCGGGGGCTCGCTGTGCCCCAGCACCCCTGTGAACCCCAACCTTCCTGACCACGCTCTCTGGCTAACGCAAGCCCAAGTGCAGCAAAAATCACGTGTTGGGAGCCAGGTCTGCCTGAGGCTGGTCCACTGCCAGTGCTGCTCCTGAGATGACCGTGACCATTCAGAAAAAGAAGGGCAAAAAAAATAAAAGCCTGTAATTTCCCCCTGCTAACTGTCTGTCCGAGAAGCAGGCTGCCCTCAGCCCATCCGTTCTCTCTAGGCAACTTCCCACCTGCTCATCTTCACCCCATTGCCTCCAGCACTCTGACCAGCCTTTGATGGGCATTTGCAGACAAGTTCAGAAACTAAAGTGGGGGGGGCTGGCAGAGGGAGGTTTTGCAAAATAGGTCAAGGAAGGAAATCTCTATCCAATTTCTATCTGTGACCGTGCAGCTGGGGTGGCATCAGCCAGCAGAACCAGCTGCTCCCTGTCCAAACATCAGAGCCCACAGCCTGAATAGTTGGCTTCTCTGGCACTGGATTCTGAGCACGGTGGCTGTGCTGGATGAGAGAGATGAGGGGAGGGGTGGGGAAGCTCATCTGGTCTCCATTTAGTCTCACAAAAGCCACATTTCTGCATGGAGAGGAGGGAGAAGTGTTAGTGGCAGTGTGCAAACCTCTGCCTTACTCCTCTCCGAGATCTGGCTAACTTTGCAACAATTACTGTTTGGGGTTTTGTTTTTGGGTTGGTGTTTTTTTTGTTTTTGGGTTTTTTTTTAATTTATTCATCAGTCATGCAAGAGGAAGGAGTGGACCAGGCCCCAGCACTCAGCTGGCAGAGCAGATCCCTGCTCTGTGCCTCAGTTTCCCAACCACAGACAGTAAGAGTGGCCTCCTCATAAGGCTATGAGAAAACTCGGGGTTAAAGCATATGCAAAAGCAAGGCCTAAAGATGCAGAGCTGTGGGTAACATCTCCCCAGGGGTTCTCCTATGTTGGAAAGGCTTAAAAAGCTTTGGGAGGTAGGTTATGCTCTGCCCCCCCCTGCTCCAGGGGGCTCCCCCTCTTGCCCCCGCTCCGGGAGTGCTCAGAGCAGAAGTGAATCCAGCATTTTGGTCCGTGCATCCAAAGAGCCTCTGTGGGCCTAGGGAGATGTGAGAGAGTCAGGGCCTGGGGAAGACTGAGTCCTTTACTGCCCTAATAGCACCTTGTATTTTCCTTTATGGTGGTTGAAGGCAACGAGCCTTGGCTGGAGGCCGTGCGATGGTGACGTTTGTTCCAGATATGCTGCCAGCCCCTCCAGTGTGTGCTTTAGCCACTGAACGGAGCAATGATTTTTCCTTTTAAAAAAATAGTTTCTCCAATGCTTAAAAACAGAGACACTTTAAAGGCAGCCAGAGCTGTCTGGAGAAGGCTGCAGCTAAACCCCGCTAATCTCCCCAACCTGGAACCAATTTGGTTTACACGAATCTCCTGAGTGGCTCCAATTAATCAGGTGTCCCAAGGAATTCCTTCCCCCTAAAGAGTCTTTGTTTTCTAGACACAGAGACCAGACGTTTCCTCCCCTGGGAAGCCAAACACAGTATCACAATATTAAGAATCCTCTGGCTGATGTTACAGGCTGGTTACCCCCGGGGAGATGCCGTTACCGATAGCCGTGTGACGCAGGGAAGGTTGTGGCAGTGCTGGAGGAACTTCAAACCAGTGCCTCTCTCTGGGAGGCTGAAATTTCTGCTCTTCTTTTGAAATACCCGAGTCCCATAGTGAATTGGTCTTCTCCCCAGGTTCAGCCTCAGCCTCCAGCTGCTCGGGAGCTTGACTTGAGAACCTGGCAAGATGAATTCCTGTTATAAGGAGGCCTAAAAGCACCTTCAGAAATCTTCACTCCTGGACCTCTCCTAGGGCTCTTGGCTGAAGAAGGAGACAGATTATCCAGCTGAGGGGTGGGTTTTAGCTGTACTGTGTTGAAAAATGTAGAAGAAGAGCAGGGGGAAGAGTTGACAGGCTTGTGGAGAGTGAACTGAATGGCTTTAGCAAAAAAAAAAAAAAAAAAAAAAAAAAAAAAAAAAAAAAAAAAAAAAAAAAATCAGTTTACCTACTTTCAGTCACTCCTCAGTCTCGCACAGAACTGCACCAAAGGGAGCTGCTGGTGTGGGAGGAATAACAGAGGGGAAAGGACTGGGGATGGGGATGAAGGGATGCCTCCAGGGAGGTGCAGCAAGACTGAAGCCGAGATGGGGTGGAGATGGGCACAAGCAACTGTCCACACCAAGATCCAGTCCTGCCAGCAAGTTTTTGGTTGGTTTCTGGTTTTGCTTTTCCACTCCAGCATCAGTGCAAAGGGCTGCAAACGCTCCCCCAAAGAGTGGAGCTGGCAGAGCTTGCTGAAAAAGATCTGGGGAACAGGGGCTGAGAGCCACTAAGCAGAGTGTTGAGCTCTGGTCCTGGCATAGAGGGTCTGGGTTGAATGGAACTCGCACAAAGCTTGTGAGGAATGGAAAAGTTGTAAGCAAACTTCAGATCTTCGTTGTTTTATCTTGCTGCTCTGTTTCCTACATACCTCTGGGTGTAGCAGCATCCTCTTGCTCTGAACTGTCTAGCCTTGAGTGGCTTTAATCTGTTGTTGGCCACAGGCTTCCAGAAGGAGAAATGCCTTGGATTTGATGGATTTCCTGGAACACAGAATGAATGTCCAGTGCCCCTGGTGCCTTCAGGAGCAGCTCTGGCTGTGCCTGTGATCCTGGTCCCCCTCAGAGAAGCACGTCCTCAGCTGCAGCGAGCCTATGGGACTCCTTAATCTGCACTGAGCTGGTCTTGCTTGATCTTGCCCATGCCTCAGGGGGCTACGTATTGGGATTGTGTCATACAGGGAGGAGAGCAGACCCGAGGGCTGAGAGGGTCAGGGGACCTGCTTCCAGGGATATCGGGGCTCCGGGGAGCTGATGGGGAGGAGGAATCACTGGAGCCGGTCACAGATGTGCACTGCAGGTATGCAGCTGCCCCACCGGGGGGTGCTGGGCAGGGATGTGCCCCCTTCTGCATCTGCCCCACGTCCCCTTGCTGTGGCTCGAACAGCCGGAGGGAAGGATGTGGGCAAGCACAGGGAGAGCAGGAGGGTGTCAGCAAACCAGCGCATGAATGAGGCTGCAGAGACCTGCCGGGGCACAGCTCTGTGTGCCCTACACCAAGTGCTGGGGAATATGATGCAAGGCAAAATGTGCAGGTGAGGCGAGGCAGCCCCCCATCTCTCTGCCTGGGGGTGAGCTTGGCCTCCTCCCCACCACAGCCAGATGGTTTGGGGCCCGGAGCTGGTGTGTTCTCCCATGAGGATGTGTTTTTGCTGGAAGGGCTGGCATGGCCGACATGGGCTGATGCTTGTTGTTATGACAACAGGAGGAGGCTGCTGTGTGCAGAGTGGAACAGGGGAGGAAGGGAAAGAAGAGGGATGGATGGTGCTGGAGAAGGTCTTAGCCAGCAAGGGGTTAGCATGCATGGTGCAGGGATGGAGGACACCCCCAGGGATGCAGCCACCATGGGGCATCAGGAGGGGGTGAGCTCTGCACCTTCTCCCACGGCTCACGACACCTCTGTACTCAGGAAGGGTCTGGGCATGCCTGCTGTGATGCAGCCTAGACCCCACCAGCAGGATGTGTGCGGCTGGTGGGACCTCTGCAGTGGGCAAAAACTGGGAAAACAATGCCTGATATAACAGACCCTGCAGATCATTGCAGCAGATCGCTCATGGGGAGCACTGGCAGGCGAAGCATGACTTCATTCTCCTTACAGACATTTCTTGGACGGTTAGCAAGACAAATAAAAAAATCACCTAATAACAAACTTTGTGTCCTGCTGGAGTCACCAGTGCCCCCTCACAGCCTCTCCTACCCAAAAGGGGGTCGGCACAAAATCAAGAGATGCAGGAAGCTGTTGGGGTAAGTCCACGGTGTCACCTTGTGCTTTTTATTTTCATCAGGTGTCTCATAACATGCACTTCTTTGTAAAACCACAGCTTCTGGACCAGATGATTAAGTGAAAGCCTTGGCT